GCCCCCCGCGAGGGGGGGAGCAGCTGCCGTGGCGGGGAGGCGGGGGTAGGTTCGCAGTGCTGCACCCCTCCAGCCTCTTCCTTGCGCCTGCGGGGCGGCAGCTGGCGGCTCTGTCTGGGCTGGGGGCCCCTCCTGTTTTGCCTGGGAAGGTTGTCTGGGCTGGCACAGCGCTACCGCCCTTCTCTTGGGACGCAGCCGGCCGATGCCGCTGCGGCGCCGGAGCAGTGTGGAGCAGATGGAAGAGGCTGAGCTCCGTGGGGGGCCGGAGAGCGCAGAGGGTGCCAGGCCCTGGCTTGTGCCTCGTCGCAGCAGCCAGGCAGGGCTGGCAGGGAGCAAAGGGCCTAGGCCCCGGGAGAGTTTGTGGAGAGGCTGAGAGCAGAGGCCAGGCTGGCGTGGCTCAGCTCCGCACAGCTCTGGTGACGTGGAAACGGAATGTGCTCGACCGCGTGTTTCCTTGCAGCGGGTCAGAGGCCCTGCCGCGAGGTGCGTGATGTTTGCAGCCGGGAGGGGTTGGAATTGGGAAAGCAGCAGCTCGGAGATGGGCTTGTGGGTCCCAGCGGGGAGCACCCTGCACGTGGGCTCCCAGCGGCATGGTGTCGAGAGGGCGCGGTTCTGTGGGGTGCAGGCGGGAAGGCCAGACGGCCGTGCTGCCTCAGCAGGCAGGAACCGCACGCCCTGTGCTGGCTGCCCTGTCAGCACATCCGCAGGGACGTCTCCATGCTGGAGGACGCTCAGCGAAGAGCGGTGTGTGCCGCTTGGCTATCTGGCAAACCCGCCTGCCCCTGAGACCTCCGTGCACTCGCAGGAGAGGGGGAAAGGCAACTTTCATCGTGGGCTGTCAATACCAGCAAGGGAAACATCCATTAAGTCAGGAAAGGTATATAGCAAGGAGCAGTCATGGGCAAAGGAAGCTAAGGAAACTCGGAGTAGGAGCAAAGGGAAGGCTTTACTGGTGAGGCTGGCTTGCCTGTGGGAGCAGTTGCCAGAGGGGAGTCGTCCTGACTCCAAGTCCCGTTGCTGTGGCTGGCGTCAGTCTCTGGGCTGCTCTGGCTTGGGCAGAAGCCGGGGCGGGCTGCCAGGATTGCTCGGTGAGTCTCTGGCCTTTGCAGTGCAGGAGACAAGAGAAGAGCAGGGCTCCGCTCTGGCTCTGTCTGCTGTCGTCCTGTGTTCTGGGGAGGCTGCTGCGTCCCATCCCCGGGGATCCCGGCACCGCTCTGGCCACCTCCTGCAGCTACAGAGATGTGCTTCTTGGGGATGACTCTTGAGTGTCTTGTTCCAGGAGTGCCAGACCAGTGTGACCAGCATGCTCTCTGATGTGCTCTGCTCTCAGCTGCATTCGAAGGGGAGGCGGGGGGCAGTTTGCACTGCGTGGCTGGGGCTGACTTGGAACGGGCAGCGGGAGCTTTGCTGGGTGCAGAGTGAGAGGTGCTGTGGGAAGCCCGCCTGGCATGCGACTGCCAAGGAGCATGTGTCTCATGTCTCGGGGATCAGGAGGGCAGCACCAAGTGTTCGCATGTCTTGTGGCAGGGAGCGTGGATCTGGGGGCCCTACCAGCATGGCCAAGGGTGCCGGGCCCCTTCCACACTGTAGCAGGAGCGAGGGCCTGGGATTAGGGCCAGGCCTTGGCAAACTAATTTCCTTTCCTGCACTTCATCCCCAGGCGGCTGGAGCCCACAGAGAAGCCCCTGCAGATCGTGTATGAGTACCTGGCCAGCCTCGGGTTCGAAGATCCCTTGAGGATACAGGAGGAGGCAGCAAACGCAGACCTCAGCTGTATGATCCGTTTTTACAATGGTAAGAACGTGTCTGGCGTGTGCTGTCGTTCCGGGGGCCGGCGCTGGGACCGCGCCTGTGCGGCAGGCAGTGCAGCTGTATGCTAGAGCCTAGCCCATGCTCTTCTGCCCTGAGGAGAAGGAAGGAGGGTAACTAACCTCTTGCATACACGTGCTTCATTGTGAGTCATGTGCACAGCTGGGGATGGTGAGAGCACTGGGCTATAGCAAAGGCAGCAATGGTATGGAAGCTGCTTCAGTGTATCACAACAAGTCCATTTGTTAGTGCCAGGGGGTGGGGAAAGGCAGAGCATGAGCAGCCGACATGGCTTTGCACTGATTACCCCAATCTCCTCCTATGCCAGAGTAACTACCTGGTGGAGGAAGGGAACACAGTGGGTGCGGTGTGCACGTCTGGGCTTCAGCAGGGCTTTTGACCAAGTCCCGCAAGATGGAGAACTGGCTGCATAACCACAAGTCAAGGGTAATAACAAATGGATCCATGTCAGAATGGCAAGAGGTTTTGAGGGGGGGTTTCCACAGGTTTGTCTGGAGTCCAGTGCTGTTTTAATGAGCCTGTCAGTGACCTGGGTGCTGCGGTGGAGAGCTTCCTGGGGAGATTTACAGGAGAAGGGGAATTGGGAGGCACTGTGAGCACGCTGGAGGACAGGAGCAGAATTCAGAAGGGTTTGATAGGTTGGAAATCCGAGCTCATGCTTGCAGCTGGGTAGGCCTCAGCTAGAGTCGTGTGCACTGTTCTGTGCTCCACACTTTGAGGAGAATGTGGAGAAGTTAGGGTCTGGAGGAGGGTGCCATAGGTGATAAAGACTTGGAAGGCAGCTGCAAGATGTAAGGTTGGGAAAACTAGGCACTTCTGGCTTGGAGGAAAGGTGACTGACGGGAGTCTTTAAATCTCTGGAGGGCTGGGCTGCTGTAGGGAAGACAGAGCATGACCATTGTTCCTTGCTACACAGGGCAGGATGGTAGGTGCTAGCTTCAGACTGCAGCAGAGCTGGAAGCACTTGCTCACTGTAGAGCAGCGAGGCAGTGGTAGAGATGGAGGCCTTGGAGGCGGCTGGCTGAGCATGGTAGAGGAGGGTTGAGGAGCAGCATCTTGCATCCAGGCAGGGGGTGGACCAGATGGCCCCTGAGGTGCCCTTTAGTCCTGTGGTCCTGTGCCATGGGACAGGAGGGTCAGAGATGGCTCCTGGCTTTAGATCTAAGGGTCAGCTGGAGTGTGGAGAGGCTTGTGTGGAGGGATTGGGAATTCACCCTGCAGCATGAGCCTGAACGGGTGGCCGAGGGGCTGAGGAGATGCTGACAAGCCAGGGCACACCCTCTGATGGCAGCAGATGGGTTCGACCAGGGGAGCTGGTTTGAGGGGCGTCCCAGGAGAGCTGCAGTTGCGGTGTGGGTGGGCCAGCGCACCCAGAGGGGCAGGGAGGGGCTTCCCAGGACCCAGTGGGAGAGCGGTCAAAGGTGCAGTCTGGGTCCTGGGAGGAAGCATGGCAAGGCCTGTTGCAGAGGTGGAGGACGGGGGTCCAGTGCATTCTGGGCCGAGCTTTGCACCAGGGAAGGCTGCTGGGAGCACCCAGAAAGGCTTCAGCTTCGGAGGAGCCACTTTGCTTCATGGGCAGGGTCACATCTGGTGCTGAAACCCATCAGGTTGCTCTTGCAGGAGGTCTGATCTTGGGCCCAAAGATCTTGGGCCCAAAGACCTTGCCTGCGTCTGGACTGGAAACAGTTTCATGCTGTGGATCCAGGCTAGAGCTAATCGCGTAGCGCTGGACAGCTCAGACTGCCGTGCGTCCAGGGGCTCCATTTCTTGGTTCAGTGCTCAGCTACCCAGGCTGAACCGTAGAATCACCGAAAATGGGGGCTGGAAGGGACCTCAGGAGGTTGCATCTAGTCCAACTCCTGCTCGAAGCAGAACCAGCCCCAACTACATCATCCCAGCCAAGGCTTTGTCTAGCTGGGTCTTGAATTCCTCCAAGGTTGGAGATTCCCTAACCTCTCTGGGTTGCCTGTGAGTGCTTCACCACCCTCCTCATGAGCAAGGCTCCGGGTTTTCCGTTTCCCCACGGAAAAACGGAGAAAACCACGGATTCCCTGTTTTTATCGGAGAAAACCACGGATTTCTCTTTTTAGCAGAGAAATCTGTGTATTGTCCACTTTTGCAAAGAGCTCTTGCAGGCGGGCACAGCTCCAGCCCGCAGGAGCCAATTGCAAAAAAAGGGTGGGAAACTCCCAGCCCTGGCCGGAGGGAGGGGGTCCTGAGCCTCCGAGGCAGCCAAGGCCGGGCTCAGGCTCACAGTCACCCTTCACCCCTGGAGCATGGAGGTAAGTGGGGCTGTGGGGCAGGGCTGGGTAAGATGGTTGGGGGCTGAGGGAGCAGGGGTGCTGCCGGCCCCAGGCGGCACATCGCAGCTGGGAGCAGGGCCAGGGGTGAGGGCAGGGGTGTCCCTCTGCAGGGGGCTTTGCAGGCAAGTGATGCAGGGGGCAGTGTGGTGGTGCCAGCCATGTGCGGGCCACACACATCGGAGCACAGCCCGTGGCCGACTCTGCAGCCACGGCGAGGGATGGGGGTGAGGGGGTGGGGGCTTGAGCTTGCACGCGGTGCTGCCGCTTACCTGGAGGCCCGTTATGGTGGTGACAGCCGCTGCCTCCAAAACCTCCTGCTGCCACCGCGGAGCCATGCCTGGAGTTGTGCGGCCAGCTGCCGGGCGGCAGCAGCAGCACGGTGGTGGCCGAGCAGCACGCAGCCATCCCCACCACCCCGCACCCCTCCGCTGCTGCTGGCTGTACAGCTCCGAGCACAGCTCCGTGGCAGCAGCAGGAGGTTTTGGAGGCAGAGAGGCTGTCACCGCTGGCATAGGCAGCCGCTGCCACTTGCCTGTGGGGCAGCCTGTACCAGCGGTGACGGCCGCTGCATACAAAACCTCCTGCTGCCACGGAGCTGTGCTTACTCCACTTTAGGATCCAGGGGCGAAGGGCATGGCTGAGCAGTGGCAGTGCTTGCCCACAAAGCCCCTCCATCCTGCATGCAGACGCCACCGCGGAGCCTTGCAGCTGGTTGCGGGGCATGCTGCTGAATGCAAGGCCCCCATTTCACCCCCCAGCTGGGCGGCACATATGTGACCTGCACATATGGTAGGAAGCTGCCTGCCCCTTGCTGCACCCTGTCAAATGGGCTGTTCTCTCTGGGACCCTGCTCGGCATCCATAGGGCCGGAGAGTGCAGGCAAGGTGGGGACGCAGTCAGGAAGGCTAACCGCACCTTGTCATGTGTCCACAGATGTATCACGAGCAGGGCCAAGGAGGTGATCCTCCCCCTCTGTGCGACATTGGTCAGGCTGCAGTTGAAGTACTGCGTCCAGTTCTGGGTGCTGCACTTCAGGAGGGATGTGGACAACATGGAGAGGGTCCAGAGGAGGCCACTTGCATGATCAGGGGGCAGTAAGGCAGGCCCTACGAGCGGAGGCTGTGAGACCTGAACCTGTTCGGCCTCCACAGGAGAAGGCTGAGGGGAGATCTGGTGGCCGTTGACAAACTGGCCAAGGGGGACCAGCAGGCTATGGGAGAGTCCCTGTTCCCCCAAGCACTACCGGGAGTAACAAGAAATAATGGCCATAAGTTGACTGAGGGTAGATTCAGGCTAGATATTAGGAGGCGCTACTTCACAGTCAGGGCGTCTAGGATCTGGAACCAACTTCCAAGGGAAGTGGTGCTGGCTCCTACCCTGGGGGGTCTTCAAAAGGAGGCTAGACAACCACCTATCCGGGGTCGTTTGACCCCAGCATCCTTTCCTGCCCATGGCAGGGGGTCAGACTTGATAATCTACTTAGGTTCCTACAGACTATGAAACTATGAAGGTGCCAGCCACGTGCCTACAGCACAGCTCCACTAGTGCTGCCCACTCTCCTGCCACCAGGAGGGAGCCCTGCTCAGACTCAACAGCTGGCTGAAGATGAATGCAGGCAGTCACAGGCTGTGTGGGGGGCAGAGGAAATGCCTAGAAGCCACAGCCGTGGTGCGGCTCCTGGCTGAAGCTTATTGGACCTCCCCTCACGGTGCAGCAGCCTGGCTTTGGGGTGGAGGCACTGTGGAGAGTAGGTCCACAGCTGTGGGTTGGTGTTCCCTGGCGCCACTGGGCATCACTGCGCCTGCCTGGTGCCAGGCTGGAAGCCAGAGAGGGTGCTGATGTCATGTGCCTCAAAGGGCCCCTGCCCTCCCCTGAAGGCCCTGGTGTCCCCTCCTGTGCTGTGCTGTACCGTGCTGCTGCACCCTGCTCTGCTCCTTGGCCAGGTCATCTCCTCCAGCTGCTGCTGGGGGCTGCTGCGGGTGCCTGCGGGAGATGACCACCCGCCTTCACTTTCACCTTCCCTGGTGCCCGGCTGCATCTCCAGCCTGAAGCTTCGTGAGCTTTGCGGGAGCTGCTGTGCGATGCAGCCTTTCTAAAATTAGCCTGCCCTTGCCTGGCTGTGCAGTCACGTGGCCTGTGTTAAGTAGTCCAGCCCTGCTGAGTGGATACGTAGCTGCTGCCCCTGTGTTGTCGTCTCAAAGAAGGCATAGGAGTTCCCAAGCGTTAGATACGTGGGTGCTTGGGCAGGCTGACACAGCTGCTGCGACAGCAAGGCGGAGAGCCTGGCAGCTGTGCACAAAAACGGAGCTTGTGCAAAGTGTCTTCCACTTGTTTGATGGGGATGGATGGGCTATAAAGGCGCACATGCACTTTCTCCCTCTGCATGGCCAACTCTGTGTTGCATTGCAATTCCTTACATCAGATAAACCAAGACATTTAAACTGGACAGATGCAGGCCTGTATCATCACGAGTCATCAGCGATCTTGATGTTGGGGTGGAAAGCAACCTGTTTAAATTCGCTGATGACACCAAAATTTGGGGGGAGGTGAGCACGCTAGCAGGGAGAGAGAGATTGCAGAAGGATCTGGATAGGTTACAGGGGTGGGCAGACAGGAACAGGATGTGTTTCAATACGGACAAGTGCAGGGTGCTGCACTTGG